TGCTGAAGGACTTTCTAAAATGTAGAAGCTATTACTTGCACTGAATAAAAATGAAAGTGATATGCTAGTCAAGTAAGATTGATATTCAGTTGTTTGATAAAATCATTCTAAGATACGTTGTGTATATGAACCTTCTACTTTATCAGTGTAAAATGAGGCTGAGTTCAATATTAAAACCAAATCACAGTTACAATTTTACCATTTCTTGTGAAATCTGATTACAAGGAATTCAACAATGCAAGCATCCTGCAAGTTACCACACAATTTTCACTTTCCTGTCTATTTCCCCTACCCTGATACCAAAAAATAAACTTATTTACATGCAATATGATTATTGTAAAATTAATTCTGCAATACACTTTATAACATCATGTGGGAGGTTTTTTTTCTGTTCTTGAATTGTTACTTTTTTAAATCAGGCAACTAGAAAGGAAGAGGTTGGGGTACACAAGTATATACATGTACTCAGAAGGACACTTAAAAGGACTTAAATTTTTTTCACTTCATATAAGGCCTTTTAACCATGACTTGTCTTGCCAAAATTACTAGACAATGGAGTTGATTTAATCAAGCTTTCTGCCCTGCCAGGAACTCTTCCTCCCTGATCCTGTTTAAAAGTAATGATCAGTATGTGACACTACTTTTATCATCTGTGGCAAGGGACAAACTGAGCAAACAACAAAGAAAAAAGATTCTGACTTTACTATATGATCAAGGAGGATAAAAAGTATGACTGGCAAGAAAGAAAAAAAAAACCCACCCCAAAAAGCAGCACTCTGCAAACCTTTAGAAGAGAATATGCAACATGAAATGGAGCATTAGAGCTGCAGCAGCAGTATGTGACATGACACAGCATTCCCACAGAGCTGCAGCAGAGTACAGAAGGACCATACTTTGTTAATTTTTTTTTTTTTATATTTAGTCAATTTCTAGAATCATCTCAGGTGCTAAAGATGGGGCTCCACACATGCAGTTTGCTAATTTTATAAACTATTCCATGCTCCACTGGTAAAAAAAGTAAGTATGGGCAAACAAAAGAAGTACATACAGAGTGAAGTTTGCAGAATGAGTAAGAAAATTAAGATCTTGGCAGAATTTGTTCTTCCTGACCCTACGATGAAAGTAGAAGTTAATTTGGGATACTGTGTTCAGATCCACAGCAAGAAACTAACGGCTTGGGAAACGTTCTCGAACCCTCTAGTTCTAGTGATCCTACGTGTACCAAATGAGGGTAGCAAGTAAGATTGAGTAGCAGGTGAGACTGAAAGTAAGCTTGAGTTAACTGTGAACCTTTTGAGCGTGTGTTGCCAACAAAATTTCGTAGAGGTTCAGTAGTACAGTGGATGGAAGGTATATTTAATAAAATGTTGCTGTATTTACCTGTTTTCCTCATGGATGTCTACCTCTGACAATTGTATGTATCTTTATCCTATTTTGGATCAGCAACAGCTCCCCACTAGTTCTGTGATAGCTTCAAAGCAGCAAGAAATGCCAGGTAATACTGTGCTGGAAACCAAGGTACAAGTCAAGTTTACAGGTAGCATAGCAAAACAAGTGAAATCATTTTATGCTACAATGCAAACATAGTGAAATTATACAGGAATGAAAGTAGTGAAGGTGGTGGAGCAGGCCTTTAAGTGAAGTTCTTGGCCACTTTATCATGGGGTGGCAATTAACCAGCTTAAGCATATCCGTCTGGTTGTAATTTAGGTAGATACAGTCCAACTGTTCCTCAAGTTTCTGTGCTACAGGATACAAAGTAAAAATAATATGATGTGTGGAGATAGATCAAGTGATGGCCAAGAGAGTACAGGATATTTTGGTACCTTTTTTTCCTGCGATTTCATCTTCCTAGAACACATGCAGTGTAAAAACAGATAATGAAGATGAGGTCTTCATTAACGAGGAATAAATGACCCTCCCTCCCACAACCACACATTAAAAAAAAAAAAACAAAAACCAGAATGTCCTCTAGAGGGCAATCTTTGCATGTATTTAATCTAGGAATACACCTTGCAGCTTATTTTAAAAAGTCTAGATCTTTATGAAGGATCATTATTAAAAAGGTACTAAAATTGATACCTAGAAAACAAAAAGTTTGTTATCCACCCTGTCCACTATCACAATTATTTTGAGATTAGTGCTAGAAAAAAGATCCAGTGTTTCACTGGAGACTCCCCGCACTGACTTGTTCAGTGGATGTTTTCATGGAACTGTAACTTGCAAGTTAACGGAGACTTATCCCAAACTAATCCACCTTCAAAATAAAAGAATGCATTGCACCACTGACCACATCTTTAAAGCAAAGCTATTTCTAACCACCAAAAATTCACACATCAGTAGATCAACTACTGACATACATCAATTTGACAACTACTCTAAAAATTTGCCAGTGCTACTTGGTGGAAGCAAATACTTATCAGAAGAAAGACTTATTTAACTTTCTAAAGCTATTCAAAGTCTATTCTTAGCTTCCAGAAGTACCCAGTGATTAAGAAATAGATTATCATATCCCATATTTAATTCATAGTTTCTTTAGTCTGTTTATTAACCATCATAGACTCATCAAGACTAATGGGTATAATACCGGCAGTCACAATGTTGTAACAGTTAATCTAACAGAATTTGGTGTTAGTTGTCAATTAAAGGTGTTCTCTTCATTACATTTGTAATAGGGAACCTACTCTAAGCAGAAATCTTGAGCAATTTCTTACTTAAAACAGGTATGTTGTGTTCAAATCTAGGGAACAGCAGAGCCATTATAAAAAGGGAAGCAAGGGCAGGACTTTGATGAAAATGAGAAAGACAGGAGTGCAAGAACAATGACTATGCAGAAGACTGTAAAACTGACTGCAAGATCAACTTCTTGAACATTTGAAGAATTAAAAAAAATTAAAAATTGTATTTGGTAAGTAGATGATAATGTGAAATGTTCCTAAGTATTTGTTTAGGCTGTTAGACAAAAACTGGTATCTTTCTGTGAACACCCATTAACAAGTCCTCTGCCTACTTAAAAAGCAATAAGGGTGGATTTAAGAAATACCAAATTTGAAACCCAAAAACCACTTTAACAAATCTCAGAAAAAAATCATTTGACACAAATCTTGACATGCACACATAACCCTCCCACACCTCACATCACATCACAGCTCACAACTCTGAAATCAAGCAACCATTTTATTGACAAGTTACAGTATTTAGAAGCCAGACATACTCATGGCTTTTGCTCTTAAGTCACATGTATCTAATTATTCCAAAATATTTGATGTAGCAGTCTTCAGCAGTTGTAATGGAAATACGCTATTGTTTTCCTTTGTGGCCACAGCCCAATACAAATGTCTATTATTTTGTTGCTGGAAAACATTAAAATGTGTCAGTTTGTATAGCATACATATGCAGTAGGATGCAGTTATGTTTCTGTACACATTGCAGATGTGCAATAAGACTGGCAGTAAAAGAAATTATTCTTCCAATATAAGTCTTGCATGGAGTTATAGCTACCATAAAACAATTGTTTCTTGAACAGTAGTTTATGCTGCTAAAATCAGTTTTAATTCTTAATAAAAAGTAGATGCATAAGTAGCTATAAAAAAATCTGTGTACTGAAAGAAAATAGAAGGGAAGGACTTTTTAAAAAAAAAAAAAAGGATGAGAGTTATTCATATGCTTGAGCAAGTATTTTTTTTTAAATACCTGGGTTCCTTTCCCTCACTTTATAAAATTTCTGTATAGACATATAAATGCTGTTCTTGCAGTTTTAAAAGGGCAGCATAATGGCTATCAGACACGACAGTTTGTCTTTAACCTTTTCAAAATACTGCAGAAGACACACAGATTCTCAGATTGTGTCTTCAGTGCACAGGAATCTGAGTGACACTAGAATAAATATTTAAACATCATAAGGGGATACCTGAGGCTTATTAGAAACCTGTGTTAGGCAATCAATACTAAAATTTTAGGATCTTCAGCTACTCTAAATCTGAATTTGAATGTTCAGTTAGGATTCTTTATATAATAGATTTAAAAGTCATTGTATTTAATTTAGAAAGTTTTATGATTTGATAAAATTTTTCACCTTGACTTGCACAGGTATCCAAGGCTTCCATAACATCTTTGTTTGAGATTGGCACTTCTGAATTAAACTGGAAAGGCTGATTCCAGAAAGTAAAAATCTACTCTTGTCAAAGCTGTTACCATCACCATAAGGCAGAACTTCAGAACCAACTGTTTATATGAAATTCCATTATATATTTCCTAATTTGGGGGACTGGTGGGTATTTTTATATGTTTTTAAGATCTGCTAAGTTTGTAGAAAAACATTATTTATTCCACTCAGTACTTCCTCAGCTTTAATCCTCTGACACAGAAAACATCTTCACAACAATTCTACTTTTACAAATGGAGAATTTTTATATTTAAGGGAGAAACAAACCACCTGATCTGAGGTGTAAACAGCTAGGAAAAGTTCCTGGTGTTAGACAAGAGTAGAGTAGTAAGAACTGGGGTATGATAGAATAAATCTTACTTCTATGAAGCCAGGGGAAAGCCTGACCATAAACAGGAAAATGTTTTTCATTTCTAAATGAAATGAAATCACACTAAAATATGAAAACAAGACAGCAACATGAAAAATCTCTCTCATTCATGTTTTTTTCCATTGTGGCACCAGTCACTAAAGCTGCTGTTATAATGCCTCTGTAATATGACAGTGACACATATAATTTTGTTATGTGTTTTGCTTAAAATAGAAAAAAATGCTCTAAATCCAGAGCATCTTGTTTTCTTCTAGTTGCATTCTGGCTAGAACACTCTCTAAGTATCACTTGCTGCCATTTCCTTCAGAACAGACACAAGTAGAACCACATCTCTTAACTTTACAAGAGAGAATAACACAATTCTCCGAGAGCCCTGAGAAAGAAATACTTCCAATTTCAGTGGTGAAGGCAGAGGAGATGGTCACATTCACCCCTAACTGCCTGTCCTCTGACTACACACTGAGGTCAGTGGCTCTCAACTGCAACTGATCTCTTAGGAATAAAGCGATAATACAAATATTCATCCCGAAATTCAAATTCATTTGTGATATGCTGGACGACGCCTCCTTTCATCAGTCTGTCTCCATACATCACAGCTTCACCACGGTCAGAGGCAAGGCCAACTTGCATGAGCCAGTTCACCAGGTCACAGCCAAAGAAGATGCCAGTGGAGATCTTTGCACCACACCTGTATGTCAAAGGAATGATTCACCCACATGTTCTGTAAATCTGGTATCACCACTGCACGATGGGGAAAGGCAAGGAAAAATAGCAGGAAACAAGGAAAGACATCATGATAGTTAAGAGCATGTTAGAAGAGAATTTGCAAGTTTTGTATATTAGGGACATGCCAATGTTCACTACCTTTTCAATGAGAAACAAAATGTACCTACAAAGTTATTTTAGGCTTGTGCAAATAAATTTCAGTGAACATAAGTAGCAATTTTCCTAAAAACACACACAATGTAATTCTATTTCTTGGATACTTACTTCCCATGTACTCATTACCATGACCATTTCCGCAACAAAATAATCTGATTTGAGTGCAGCATGCCTGCTGCAACAGGAACTCAATCTGAACTTTAATTCAGTTTTATAATTTCTCTACAACTTTAAACAGACAGTAACTGCTTACATATATTGTAAGCAAAAAACATGTCACTCGCATACCCAGTTAAATATTTACCACACTGGCAGTACTAGGAATAAACAAAAAAACCTTTGCAACAAGACCAAATTAATTTCCTTTTACATATTTATGAGGCAATGCCTCTAACATCTACCTAGTTGCCGTAAAAATACCATTCAGAGGTTTACCTGCAGCAATGAATGTTTCTGGTTATCTAAAATCTGCTCTATCGAACCCAAGTGCAGGGTTTCTGAAGATGATTAACAGCTACACAGCAAAAACAAACTCCTTTCCCTTTTTTTTTTTTTATGTTAAAAGCAGCAATAAAACAGAGCAAGTCTTAGCATCTATTAAGCAGAGAAGCAAAAATCAAAATAAATAAAAACACATTATTACAAAGTCTCAGTTACAGTACATTTAAATCAAAGAGGATAGGATCAATTATATGAATACTTAAAACAAGAAGATAAATGCTTTCTTTTAACACACAAGGAGAAATAAGACATGATGCTAGTTCCATACAAACCTAATATTAAAACAATGAAGCAACAAATGTCAGATTTTGATGTATTCCTAGGTGATATATGATTAAAAAACCCACAAAACCCAACCAAATGAACAGCCCAAAGCCCAAGAAACCACAATAGCAGCAGAGGCACAGGAAACACAGCTGCAGAACCTGTCCTATTTCAAAATAAACATTTTCTGATACATCTTTTCTATCTGGCATGAAAGAAGCAAGTCCTTGAACTGCCATAGTTCCTTTTTCCTAAATGGTTTATTTCTTATGGAACATTACTGATTTCTGAGGAGACTGGAAGAAATCACGATGCTGTCAAAAAACAGTTCTGGAATGTGGTTTCGGACTATCTGACCATTAAAAGACCACCCCATTCTGCCAAACTAGTCCTACTTAAAAGCTCACATAACAAGAAATGTAGAAGGGTCCTGTTAGAATAATTCTTCATGTTTCCATTTCATACAGTTAAAATTTAAATAAAGGCAGAGTCTTTTTCTTGTTCCTGCTGCTTCTGTCTGCATTTCTCTTCTGATCCACCTACACGTACCTGAATACATAATCTTTGATTTGGGTATCATAATTTGCATCTGAAAGCTTTGCTGATCTCACAAATTGAGGATTAGGCCTCACAAGAAGAATGAGCAAGAGAAACTGTGTGAACTCAGAAGGTGTAAATGTCCTAAAAACACTATAATCTCATGTATTGAGTGGCCTCTGAGTACACACTGACATCAGTTGCAATAGTTTTGCCTCCTGTAAAAGCTATTTATTAGTAAACGTTCAGTCACATAAATACTAACACCTTCTGAATCTCAAAACAAAACACATGAAGGGTTTCGGGTTTGACAAAACTCACAGACACACACCCTCCGTTACAAGCATTACCGTATACCTTTCTTCAGAAAGATTTTCTCTCCTAACTTCAGCTACATGCAAAAACTGGGGCCATGCCTTAATGATATAAACATTTTTATAATTTATATAAAACCTAGACGGGATAATGCGGTAACTTGCACCTCAATGTTTTGGCTGGAGACTAGAAACATTTATCTGTTACTGCTAAATACTTAATCCTCACCTTGAGGTTTGAATAAATATGCCACAACGCAGGAATCGCCCACAGACAGATTAAACTGCATTTCATTATTTCCAAAAGGTGAGCTATGACCTTTGTAACAAGTTTTACGTGCAGGGAGAAACCTTACCTTCTGCCTCTGACAATGCTTTTGACACAGTGATCTCTATGATAACGAACAAACTGTTGACAGGTCATCCTGATTTCCTCAGGTAGAGAGGAATCTGTATGCCCCGCTGCTTCTCTTCCTCCCCAGAGAAATTCAAGTCTTAAAAGAAAAAAAAAAAGAAAAACAAGCAGCAAATCAACCAGAGGCATTTTTAAGGAAACTGCAAGTAATAGAACAGAACTCACAGGAAGCTTATCACAACTGTTTTACTGTTTTTGTGTCCAATACTTTATATACAATCTTCCTAATAAACTTGTATGGCCTTTGAACACTAAGAAGTTTTATTCTAGGTTCAGGCAGAAGGAAAGACAGAGAGTAGCTGGGTGCCAGCTTTACCTGCTGGATTCATACCACAGCCAGCTAGCTCTAAGTTAAAGACGGCTTTGTACAACTTACACCTCCACAGCGAGGTACCAATGAAAGTGTCCATCCACACAAAGCACTTGCATGAGGTTATGAATACTGGACTTTCAAACAGTGATGATAGATGCAAATGCTGAACCAGTTTCTAAGTTTTAATTTATCAGCTGAAATTATTTCTGAAGATCCATCATCTCACTGATCCAATCACATACCTCACCATCATTTGCCAAAGATTTTCCCTATAGGGAGCCTGTGGGATTTTGGTCTTTGGGAGTATCATTAGGACAGCAGTAAAAACTCAGGCACAGTGAACTGCTATTAGCGCTCCCCAGCTGGGAGAGAAAAGAAATTTGGAAGATTGAACAAATAGGAAACGGAATGCAGTGGCACTGAACACTCAATACCCTTAGTTGTAAGTGTAAAGATTCTGTTTACCTTCGCTTGAATGGTAGAATGATTAGATGCTTATCTAAGCCAAAAATACCAAAGGAAATGAAGCCCTGCAGGAAAAAATACAGAAAAAACAACATTAAGGAAAAACTTTGGTTTCTAAACAACAGAAATAAAATGCTAAAAACTCATTGCCAAAACACACGTGAGAAGTATTCCTCTTCTCTAGATATCGTTCAAAATGCATTTTGTTTCTGCTTTGATTTTTCATTTGGACCTTAAAAAGACAGATTAATATGTAACAGTCCATCAAAGAAACTCTTCAAGAATCAGTTCAGTAAACCTAATGCTGTGACATGCCATCTGACACTTAAAACATTCTTATCCTTACATAGCCAGTTATTTTAATCTGTCTTTGTTAGTGTCAAGAAAAGTACTGACTTACTGTAATTTGAATGCCAAAATGCTCTCTAGTTAATTCATTTTTCTATGCCACTTTTGTACCAAAACTACTATAATTACTTGATTCTACAGTGCATCTTGTAGGCGCACCAGTCCACGGGTCTGTAAAACATTCCTCTAGCATGTGTATGAACACTGCCTTGCTTTCACCTTCATAGATACCAAAGCTACCTTGTGTCCGTTTGCACTGAAATAGGCTATGTGCAGCTGGGTCATACATCTTACTGTCAGCTATTAGTTAATGGTGCTGTACCTGAAACTGAAGGGATAACATCTTAAAGCCTTACCATGCGAGTGGAGCCATCTCACACCTATTTAGTTATACTGGTGTAATTCCACAGAAGCAACACTGGTGAAGCTTTCTGGTGCAAATAAGGCTAAAATCCTACTGAATTTCCATAGGCATTTGGCACTCAGTTGTCATTTGTACCTCTGAAAGTGTTCATGCACATAAGAGATATGCATTATGATAAGAAAGCTATCAAAGCAAAAGAAAAAGCTTGAGGGAAAAAAAGGCAAAACACCACAAGGAGCTGGTGACTTCAGCATTGTTTGAGGACTTCAGCTTACAGTGCTTGTAACAGCAAGTGCTGCAACACCCATTAACAAAGTCATTTTCAGAACAAACATTGGTAAGTACCTGACCAAAATTAAACACAGCACAGAAGAACTGCAATTCCACATATAGCCTTCCAGGCTCTTGGTTGAACAGCCACCACAAACAACTGGAAAGATTCTGTTAAGAAAAAAATAAATTAAAAAAAAACCCCAAACAACCCTGCAACTGTTAAAAACGAAAAGCACTGTCTTACTCTTCACACGCTAGCAGATTTTTGCACAATTTTCACTGTCTTTATCTAACAAATGATTCAGATAAAGACAAAAAAGAGGGAATAGACACCTTAAAATGCCATTTTAGTTAGGATTAATAGCTGGCAGGGGGCGGGGAGAAGAGCTTGCTTGTTTTTAAACAAAATAATACAAAACACACCAGTGTAGAGGTCCTGCCCCTTTACATGTTTACATAAGGAACCTGCCTTAAGCACACTTAGGTATTCAACCTAACACAGGCAGTATTAGCCCAGACAGACTTGTAGTATTTGTCTTTAGGCCTGTTCAGCCGAGACCAGTGCTTTCTACATATTTTCTGCATAGTTAAGATTGTGTTAAGCTGAAGCACATACCACTTCAGCTATTTTAGATGCCTGACAGAAGGAAAAAACCTCCAAAGTTAACCCCTTTGTGGGTGAAGGCTAATTCTTTAATGTAACTGGTCTCAATTCATAGAATCCATGTAATCATTCAGATACAACTAAAATAGAGGCTAACATTTGGGACACCTCTTTAAATATAGAGGATGTAAAAAAATACATGGAATATTTGATACAGGAAATTTGAGAGAGGGAAAACGTCTGTATTGTAATTTAACAGGACCTGAAAAGCAACAGTAGTAACTATGACACTGCATAATTGTGCCACACCGTCCTGCTTTGCAGTATTACTCATTTGTGCCACAGTATTTTCCATTTCAAACAAAAATACTTCCCCCCTAATTGTCATCTACAAGAAGCTCAACTTTGAGCATTACATTAAAACAGAGTTGTTTCTCATCTTTGTCACAGTTAAACATTCAAATTATATCCCTAATGCATTACATTCTGGTATTTCACACTTTTACACAGGAGTAGCCACCTTCACAGCTGGGATCTAGTCAGTAATGATGCTTGGCAATACCAACTTAGCTACATTGCCTCCAAACTAAAAGCAATAAAACCAAATTTTCCCATTTCAAATAAAAGTCTTATGTTATTCATTACTAAAGAATCTCAAAGAAATCTAAGTTCCAAATAAAAGCATGATCAGATGGAAACAATTTTTGTACAGTGTCCTTCAGAAGTAGGATTCACTTTATATTTTTAATTGATTATTGTCTCAGAAAAAGACTAGCTCTTGAGAAAAATGGTAAGAGGGGTGCGGGGCAGCAGTGATTAATTAATTACCAAATGATATAATTCCACTTTTTTTTCCCCTTAGGGTTCTCCAGTGAGACTTGCTCACTAACATCATCAATCTCAACTTGCCTTTAATTTATGATGTGGCAGAGAAAAATTAATTTTATGATATCCCTCTTCCAGTAAGGGACAAAATAAAGCCTCTAACTTACTTATTGTTACATGAGGAATTGGAAGATTTTTACTGGACTTGTCTACATAGCTTTCCTAAAAATCATTCCACCTCAATGATTTAAACATGGGGAGAAAAAAATATTTACAGCAAACAGGCCAACAATAAGAAGTAAGCAGAGCAGCACATGTCTGGCCAGCTGTTTGTCTCCGGTCTGTAGAAGCTGTTCTTCCTGAGCCAATACGCAGGTTTGAGCACTGCAATGACTCACACACTGATCAGCTGAAAAACAAAGCATAATTTTTCATTAGGCTTCTATCTTACGAACTCTATGAGCAAACTTGTTAATGTAACTTGCCGGGTTAAATTACCTTGTATTTGTACTGGTCACACACACAAAATCTAGTATTAGCTTTGACAACAACCTCTTCAGACATCTATTCTCAAATGAAACAGTAGTTTACATGCGCTCCTAAAATGAAGAAACTTTTTGCAACAGAACTCTTCTTTCAAATGTTCAGTGCAAACTTAAGTGGCGGTTAACATTTAGAAAACACTACTAGAAATAATGAAAAAAATAACATTTTCTCAGAAGAGTTTTTAAACTTAGAATAAATTTCTGGAATAAATATTTCAAATATACCATCAGCTCTATTTTTTTTACTCTGTATCTCAGCATCATTGAACTCTAGATCAGACAATCAACTATATTCAGTTCTGTGACTGTGTTTTTAATATGATATATCAGAACACTCTCATAATTCTATCAATCAAAAGAGCCAAACACACAAAGAATGGCTGCTTGTCTTCCAACTAGAGTTCTAAGGAATTTTGAGTATATTCCTCTAGATGGCAGTGAAAAACTTCCTGGCAAGGACATACGCAAGTATTTGCACCAGATACCTGTCGTAGCAGTTCAATGGGATAGCAGAAGGATTAGTAATTATTGCAGCCAAAGTTACACAATTTGCTTTTACTGATTTGTAACTTTGAAGTGTTCACTCAGTAGGTCGAAGAAAATTCCACTCAATCATAAGATATTTTCTACTCTAACTTTTATGATAAGAAAATCAAACTGGTCTTCCTCCATCATTGGAAGACATTCTTATGATGCTTGTCTGAATTACTTAATAGATAAAATAACTGGCAACAGTTGGAAAGCTAGCATTTTATGAGACATAACTAAGTATGTTTCAGTGTGAAATATTTAGATTTGTTGAAAGTTATGCTGCATCCAAACAAAGTGTAAGAATATGAACTTCCTTGTTAAGGATGCAAAAAAAAAAAAAACCAACCAAGAAAAAGAAAATAGGAAAAAAAGAAAGTTGCATTGCAGCTAGCTTTGATTATCGAAAGCGATGTACGATGACAATGGGCTGAGTATGTAATTTTCCATAAGGTGGTGAACAGTCACTTTGACCCATGTTTTCTGTTTCAGTGGCGCCTAAGGACCCTTAGTCAGTTTTCTCCATCTCTCTCCCCTAGACATGGATAATACAGCAGCATGGACACTTGAGCTAATCTGCAGTAAGTGCTTGCTCCTCTAGAGCTGAAGTTTCTCATTCAAAACCTGTGCATGATTTACAACAAAGGCTTCAAAGGTCTTTTAAAAAGACACAAGATGTGAATATGAGAATGTAAAAAAGTGTGTTTAAGTTGAAAACATGAGGCAAAGTAGCGTTATGCATTCAACTTCCCAGTGTCCAAACAAGGCAATGACAGAGAGGTAAAGTCTAAATGCTCAGAATGATTTGTTAAAGTAGCTTAGTGGTAAAAAAACCAACCCAAAACAACTGTCGACCTAACAGCTATGAGGCAGATGAGAACGAAGACCTAACGTATTGCCTAATACTTGAATTAAATATGAAATACAAGTTATCCAGGTAGAGTTGAGAGAACAGCAGCCCAAACAGTTTCTTTGTGAGAACAACACACATAGATGTTGTGGAAGAGTTTGTAGTATTAAAACAAGGAGACACTACTGCTTTACCTGTCTCAATTGGAGGAACCTTGTTTTCAACAGCATTTGACACTGCTTTGCTCTCTCTAGGACAGGATAATTCACCATTTGTTGTTTGACAAGAACAGCAACCTATTAAGCATATACAGTAACAGGATAGTTATCTTCCTTCAGTACCATAATTTATTTTCCAAGTGTAACAACATATTCTATACAGCTTTAATTATTATGCTTAAAAATAACCCAAAAGGAGAAAGCAGACTTAATTTTTCCAATTTGCTGAGAGGGTAAATGAGTTGCACAACTAATATATAGAAATATTTAACATAGCATTACCACTATGGAAGCAACATCAGTACTTTTAGCTAGAGGGAAAAGAAATGGGAAGTGATCAAAAGGCTATGTACAAACCAGGATTAGAAACGCATTGAATAGCGATGCTGCAGGCATATAATTCATTCTCAGAGGGACGGTTTAGTGGGTAAACAATCTAAAACACCTACTGGACTGCAAATATCACATCCTTATCAAGATACCACTACTTACATAAAAAACATACACATGCTTTTTTTCCTGTCCACTTCCCCCACCCTTACAGTGATAACCATCACACTTTCCTTAGAAACATAAACCTAAATCCTTGGGCACTTATATCTAGGTTTTCTTCTGTCCTAGCATAACACTTGAAGGTATAAACAACTACCCTTCCCAGGTCAGAATTAAATTTGTAACGTTACTGTATTGTATCCCAAGCCATTTATTCTTTTACAAACTACTTTCCCTAACTCTTTCTGCAGATGGTTGTGCAGAAGATCCTTGAGAAGGCTGTGCAGAAGATCCTGCAGAAGGCTGAGGCACAGTGGTTGAAATTTGGTTACCCTCACTCCCTTCCACTTCAACTTCCTCCACTTGGCTACGCGGTGAGTATGGGTTCAATACCTCATAGCTTGACTCTTGCCTATTTCTGTTCATGCACATAAGTGAGATACCTGACATCAATATACTGATGAACAGGATCACTGCCGTGGTAATTATCTGTCAAGAAAGCAAAGAAAATACACTTAAGTACAAAATAAAGGAAAACATAGTGCATATATCTGTCTTTCTAACTTCTGTACTTTCCTAAATATACTTATAAATGCATCTAAATAGGACAGAGCTTTCTGTATTTACTGCTCTTGCATCTTGTGGCATTGAAGGAGCAATCAGTACACAAGACTAATTTTCATTGCTTGAGTAACTGAGTTTTTTGTTTGTTTTTGTTTTGTTTTCAGTGGTGACCCCTATTTCCCATGCAATCCAAAAACATCCCCTCATCATCGTATTTCCCTCAGGATCATTAGTGCTCCAGTTTAAGTTCTGTTCAGGTACCTTTTAATTCCAAAGAGGAACATGCTCTTGCCACCCTCTAGCACAGTTCTCATTTCCATGTTTTCTCCAATGGGGAGCATCCTATTAATTAACCTTGCCTTCTAATCATCTGCCACTGATACCTAGAGTCCACTCTGAGGCTATTTTGTGTAATAGTACTTGTGAAACTGCCACATGAATAACATGAGAGACTCATAGCCTCTCTATCAATAAGAAAGACAGAAGGAAAACATGACATATCTATGCTAGTGCACTTCACATCCTCTAATAAAGAGGAACTATTTATTAGTAAAAACTGTAGTTCAGGCTCGGGGACTTTCAACCCATGATTGTGCAGAGAAGTCTCCCACAGTGCAAGCAGTTACTGCTACACATGTAATGTAGATCCTATCTATTATAGACCAAAAGCCATTAATTAGCTATTGGATGGTAATAATTTTAGATAATTATCAAGCACGACTACAAATTAGTCACCAGGAAAAGGGCTCTGCAATTCATTACCTCTCCTAAGCCTTTTCTTTGGAAAGCCTACTCCCTCTTTTTCTTAGTCATAGCTGCCTAAACATGAAGGTCCTTGTTCAAACAAGTTTTCATAATGGTTCATTATAGAAATACATTTTTGTATCAATCTATAAGAATTCTATAATGATACTGTTATTATGGTAGCCTGTACTTTGACTGAAAGCTACTTACACAAGAAGCAAACAGAGAACGCAATTTCTCAATAACGTATGCAGCACAGCAGAAGTCTGAAGTGATGAGGACAGAACATGGTCATACCTGATATTTTCCATAGAAAAAGGCAGAGTCAATACTAGTGTTGTTGTGTTCACCAACAATTAGTAAGATTCCCACCAGAAGTGTTGGGACGCTGAAAGAGCAAAATATGAACAAAGTAACATATTTAGCATGCTACCACTAATTCTGCAGGAAAACATCTGAATTAACTTACCCCCATCCAGCTATGATAATAAATCCAATGGGAATCTTTACTGTTTCTTTCTTCCTCAACAGAAACAAAGAGAAAGATAGAAAACCTACAAAAAAACCCAAAGAAATGCCTTGTTTATTATTAGAAAGGGAACCGATTACAGAGTGTAGAAACTATATGATGTGACCTGCTCCATAACTAAAATACTCTTCTCTGACCTTCAAATAGACCAGAATTGTTTTTGCTGGTTGTATTCCGAGAAAGTAAAATAGAAACACCTATTATGTTAAAAAAAAAAAAAAATCATTAACACTGAAAAAAAAATCCAGGACACTGTACATGAAACATCCACTTCTAAATGCCTAGAAAGGTTCACAAGCGTATAAAAGATGTGTCTTAAGTGTTTTATAACAAGTAACTAATTTCTTAAGGTATCAACAGCAGTTGTTCTAGACTAACAATCTTAAATAACCAACAAATAATGTTGTATTGTGTTATAACATTTCTTTAAAAACTGACTAGTACTTTATAAAGTCAATGATAAATTTAACAAAAAAGTTTTATGTATTTTTACATATATAACTATATATGGGAGTATCTTCTGGAACTGCCTATTCTATTCACAACTCAGAAGCTCAGCCACATTCCCCATGCTGAAGCAAAGCTAGTATTTACATTAGGCTATACTAATCATGAGCTACTAGATAAACACAAATACAACTTACTCCACAAAAACACCACACAAACTAAACCCTTAGACTTCTTGACTCAAGAACGGTATAAAAAGTCTCCTGAATACCCAAAGTCTCGTTTTTAATCATACGTGTAAGGTTCTCCAAGCTTCTTGATGCATTTTTCAATTCTGCCTATGTCAAGTAATCATCTACACCTGCAGAACACACACATTATTTTTAGAAATTACAATTGCCAGGTGGGGCAATTGTAAAAGTAGTAAACTGTAAAAGAAGTGTTAAAGCTACTTTGGTATTTCCCTTCATTCTGTATTTCCTACTTTTTTGAGGCACAAAGTTTTTAAATCTACTTAATGCTGAATAATTAAAATTTTAAACTCTGCATTAATTAAAAATCGCCACTAGCTCAAGGGCAACCCCCCACATTCACCCTTATTTGTAATCGCTTCTGCCTTGAGAGCAGGTTCTTGTCTTTTGTGACACGCTATCAAGGCTGCTGTATCTAGCAAAGACAAACAAGAGCTGCCTAGTTGTAAGCTTACAATATAGCAAAAGCAGTGCCTGACACAGAGCTGCACGGTGTTAGTGCTGCAGCTTGGCACAGCTTACAAGTATGTGTATTTGTAGGACTACGTACAAGTGAAAGGAACAATTACTCTGAAGAATATAATAAAATTATTACATTACATTAATCTGTTATTACAGTACCTAGGTTCTGCCTAGAAAAATCATACCTGTCCACAGGTAGGTGCTATAAAGTGAGCTGTAGAGGAATATAAATACTAGGATCTGCATGGTGATGTCTTTCTCTTTAACAATGAAATTCCATGCCACCATTCCAATGCAAGCAATAAACTGGAAAGAAAGGTTAAGATGTCATCATTTAAATTGGGAAAGCAGGATGACAAGAAAAACTGAACACAGTCTAATATAGCTACAATAAGCTTTGAAACTCACAGATTCACTGGAGTGTGATTTTATGAATCGGATAGTTCTCATAGCAGTAAAGCAGTGCAGCAATAAACTCAGTATTACAGTTATGTTACTGCCTATGGTACCCTATTTTCAGGAGGTTTTTTATGACAGCAATTATACAGCTCAGACAAACTATTTGTACTTAACAAAAATTTTACATTTTACTTATTATAATGATATATTAAGATTATATATTTTTTGCTGACTTGCCTTACTCCCAGTTTCTCTGAAATGATTCAGACATGAAGCTGAGGCTAACAGATGTTTGTTCAGACAAGAATTATACAAGTTTTCACCCAGTGATACTGCATATATGACAGTTTTAGTACTGAAGGAATCTGAAAAGATAGGCTGAAATTTTATGGAAACAGTAATACAGTAGTTCAAAATTTTTTTAAGATGAAAGCTAACTTTGCTGTTATAGACAAGAAGCACCTGCAACTCTCATATGTGACTTTTTTCAAATGTGACTCCATGACCTCAGGTTTTTTTTTTAAATATATATATATATTTTTAAATTTAAATTACAGAACACTTCAGAAAGCACTACCACATAGATATATTATAAGCACAGGCTGCTCTCACTGAATTTAACAGCAGTTGTGCAGCTGACTTCGAGGGAAGAAGGAACATGTACTCTGTAGTTTTTGCTCAGTTTAAATAACAATTAAAATTAATCCAGAGCTATTTGGCTTTGCCCTTCCCTAGCCACCAGCCATGCATTCCCACACCACTTCCTTGCATCAGCACTGGCACCTGTCTGATCCCTCAGCGAGCCACGTCAGGGAGCTAAGCCAGCATGGGGATTATTTTTCTGTTTAGCTCCTTGAATCAGGTCACCATAGAGCCAAACACATGCTGCTGCTGATTCTGGCATTGCTGACTTCAGATTGGCATCAACTGATACAGAAGCACACTCAACAGTATTAGGCAGTAATTTATAACACTAAAAATATTTCAGAAGCCACTCTCCATTCTGATTGCTTACAGTTCTGTTTGAAAACCATACTACCAGCATCAACTATCATTTTCTTCAAGGGTGTATTTTAAGGCACAGAAATTCTTCAGCCAAGTCGCACATTAGATTCCCCTGCCCTCCATAGATGGCCACAAAGCTATCATTGTAGAAACTAAACTTGTAAATGTGTTAAAAGTAAGACTTGGAAAACAAACTCACACAACAGCATTCTTCTTACTACTGACCTGAGCAACAAGTAGGTTTGTTGTAATCATATGAGGAAGCTGTTTATATTTCTTACTCAGAAGAACAACAATAAGAGACCAGATCTGTAACATACAAGAACAAATTGAATTTACGAGTAAAACAAAACCCAAAAGAACAAGATGAATATTCTGGCAGACTATGGAGAAATTAAATATACAAAAAATCTTCTTGAAAAATTTCTTAGCAACGTGACTACTGCAGTCAGCTCCACACCATCTGCTGCCAGTCCCTATGCCTCAGCCAGAAAAAGTAATGCATAAGTGTGTTCTCATGATGGTGAAATATTTCCAGAGAGTACCAAGAGCTTGCCTCTAGTGCGCAGAAGCCTAGTTGTTCCTCAGGACAGAAATGACCACAGAGTAGCCTGACAATTTAGAATTTAAAATTCCCCTGTGTCATGTCCCCCTCGCCAAATCTCCCCAAATTATCTGTGACAGCAAGAGGCGGTGTTCACTCGTGGCTTCCTTTGAGGCACAGCTTCAAGACAAGAGGACTTCAGTAGGACAACTTAAGAAAATTCCAACTCCCTCCAACATGGTTGTTTTTATTTTAAAAAAGCAAATAAAATAAACACACTATCCGTAGTGCCTATAAAGCCAAAACAATTCACATTGGACTTCTGAATTATCATCCAACTTTAAGAACCATGCACACAGCATTTCTGGGAAAGAAAATTGATAAATCTAAATCAAAACTTCCAAGTTAAACGTTTTCATTAATACTTATTAATACTTCATTAAATAAATATTCACTGATGTTTCTGGAGCTGAAGTTTGTACACAACCTCCATTACTGCCATATCAAAGCACCTCACATGGCTTGATGTAATTATTCCCTGTGGTGTAAGCTAGTACTGTTATTCCAACACACCCCATTATTTTAAAAACAAAACACAAAAAACCACCAAAAAAATCCAAAAAGGACAAACTCGTAAGCCCTGCACTAGTGCTCTAATCCACTTACCCATCTTTCTCTACAGTACAGCTTTTCAGCTCACCCACTGCTAAATCAAGACTTTTAACTCCTTCCTTGTCCTTCTGCAGTAGGATACAATGAGGAAACGCGAATCATCTTATCATGACTCTATCTGCTGCTTATGTACTAACGCGACCCTGATATGACAACGTGCTTTTGTATTTCACTTCAACACTTACCAGAGAAATAAGGCTGACAATACTTATGTCAAAGCTAACATTTTGGAGTGCAGATGCCAGTGGGTTGGGGTCCATAGACGGAATGGTCAACAGCCACGCAGAAACGTACATAATAGGTGCAGACACAAAAGTGCTTATCACCATGCCTGAGGTAATCTGAAAGAAGTCAAACAGAACACAGTTAATCAGATCTCAAGCTAAATAATCTGCTTTCAGCAATACAACCACTAGCAAAATTGTACCTTTGAATTAAACATACATAGACCTTTAACAAAGCACCAAGTTATTTCTATAATAAATTTAGAATTTGAGCCAGAAAGTATCAGTTTCACACATACAGTTAAAGTGAAAATTTTAACAAGCTTCTGAAATAGTAAGAATAGAGAGTTCCCCTACAGCAACTTCTTACACAGCTTTTTTGCAGGTGCCAAATACACTAATGCCTACAGTCTAGGGGTGGATTTACAGTGTCACAATTTACTTTTGGATGCAAAGATTCACACTCTAAATGAATAAGAAAACATGTATTTATGCAAATACTAATGTGCAACAATCCATGAGAAGCTGCCACATATATTTACATTTAAGTGATTTCTATTTTTGTTTCTCATTGTCTTTACGCTTTCGAGAATTTTCAGTGATAGAAGTGTGAACTGCTACTCATACTACAGATCTCTCTTTTGAAGAGATTTGCTGAATTTGTTGGGCACAAAATTCTACCTTGTAAGGTTTACTTCTAGTGTCTTTTTTTCCACTTTTCTTTAAAAAAAACCCTAACTAAACAAACCAAAAATAGACAACATTAGAAACAATGGAAGTCAACAGGAATGTTTTAATGTCACTTCAACTGGAAGAAAGGAAACATTTATAAAATTTGTATTTTAAGTTGAAAAGATAATTGATACCCTCTACTATAAAAAAAAAGTAAAATGCATTTCTATCACAAGATGTAACTGAAGGGCAACACAACAGAATCAGTTAAAGTATAAGTTCTTCTGTAAGTTTTCAGCATTAAGCCAACACTGTTCTTACTGAAGTCAGTAACATCATTTCTGTTTTTTCCTGCAAGAACAGTAGCTCAAAGATAAGGTCTTTGGAAAAAAACCCCACCAAAAACCAACGAACCCACAACAAGAATAGAAGTTCTTTATATTTAAAGTTACCCCAGATCTTCCTACTAGAATCACAAATAAGAAAAGTATGAGGATTTATTTACAAACATGTACTATCAAGACACTTGAGACATCAGGAAAGAGTACTTAGCTTTATTAATAATCTGAAATATAATTTATATTTGAGATCTAGGGAGTACAAATAAATCTAAGGAGCCTATACTACAGAAAAGCAAATCCATCAAGCATATATTTAAGTATTTCATCAACAAAGTTAAGCTCAAAGTTAGTACATGTTTGGGAAAAGCTAACTACATACAATTCCTACTTCCATATTAAATTGACTTGCAAATATTGCGACACCAGGCGCTGATGGAAAAACTCCATAGAGAAATGCATAGTTTGATAAACTGGTGTGGTTGACTATGCTGTCACTCTTGTCCAAGAGTTCCACCATTTCTCTACAGAGAAATGGCATCATAAGTCTGAAAAGAGAGAGAAAAAAACAATTAAAAAAAAAATATTATTCAAGCTATAGCATAGGCTCTTCTTTACTCAGAAAATGAACCAAAAAGAAATTCAAGGCTTGTTTGAATACCATTTATGAAAGGCAAAATATTGATATCACGTTGAATGATTGCCTTTACTGTTACCATGACATTTACCAGCTGCTTCAAAATTGTGTCACAAGTTAGACCAAAAAAACCCATAGAAAAAACAATGGTAAAAATGACAAACTCTGGGATGTAAGCACATTCTCTGACTGTGCAGACACGTTCTTTGTATAAACCTCAGATTTAGAAGGGTAAAATATAAAAAAACACCCCCAACCTTCATTTCTCAACTGTTAAAGTAACAGTAGCTATAAGCAGTCATCAGCTTTGAAACTTAGACGACCTTTCTGCAAGCTGTCTGAAATATAACAATGGCTCAAGCTTAAGTACCATTCTGAAAGTTTTGGCCAGCAAAAATAACCCCTACATATCAATGCTGTTCTGTTCGCCTTTAGCAATACCCCAGATCTCACACAGACTCACTATGTAAGCCTCACACAGGCTAATTACATAAACTCACTAGTAAAGCAAAGTGGTAACATTAAAAATTATTTTTTTTCCTCACGTTCTTACAAAATTTGTCACTGAGCTGGTTTACAGACTAGGTCTTTAAATTTGTTGGTTGGTTGTACTGATATTCAAATGCACCTTCAAATTTTACAGTATAAACTTCACCACCAAACCACCACTCTGTTATGTTAATTGTAGCTCTGTAGCAAATAAAATATTTAGTTCACCAGTAACTGAGATATACTCAAGGGAAGATTATAATGACATACGTTCTAAATACAAATTCTCATTTATTCATGCTTAAAATTCAGACAGTTTAAGAGTGTAAAGCAACCATTTTTAAGCTCTTCCAATATAGCTGTTTCAAAGATTTATAGACAAAGCAAGGAAAACCAACTAATTTAGAGATGTATTGTGTAAACCAAAGAAAATACAAATAGTAATGAATTAATACTTAAACTCACTCTTGTCTAATTATTTAACTAGTAAATTTTAATTTAGGATAGTAATTCCCCAAACACCCAATTTGTGACAGGTGGCCTGAAGGCAGTCCATGAAGCCACAGTACCCCTGAATTTTACTCTCTGCAGAGCCTGACAACAGGTTTGCGGTGTGCAAAATTTCTTTTAGAAGTTAACAGTTGTATACTCAGAGTTTGGGAAGCACTTGCCCAAAATACTGGAAGTCAAACATACTTTCACTATAATGATTTTGAAATAAAAGACATCTGACCAGTATATTCAGAGATTCAGAGCTTAAAACATCTAGAGAACAAAATTATAAAAGTACATAAATCAAACTTACAGTTTAGCTGTGATGAGAAGGATCAGTGCAACAAACATACCCTTTGTCAGCTTTTTTGTTTGTCCCACCATAGTTAGTCCAAGGTAAAAAAGTGCAGAGCCAGAAAATGAACTGCCCAGTCCATCAAGGAAGTTTTCAAGGTATTCGGGAATTTTCTGGCCAAGAATAAAGTTTGAGGCAATTCCTATGAAGACCATGAATACAATTGGGTTCTGCAAAACTCGGAGGAGTGCTAGGCCCACTATTTTGATTTTGCTGTGTGACACAGTGCGATTATCCCTCCACTTCTGGATTTCACAGAAGATAAACCCAAGAGGGTTTAGCATCATAAGAGATATTGGAGCCACTAGGTAAATGTACTGGAGATATTCTGGGTAAGTGGTTTGATACAAAGCTTCAACTAGAAGACAGGAAATGAAAAGTGATGAGTGATAACATTTCAGTACAAAAATACTTTAATATTGAAATTAAGTTTTATTGTCTGAAAACTAGAGAAATATTATTTCATTATCCTTGAGTGGTTAACTGCATTTACAATCAATATAAGGTGATGTAGCAAGAGATGTACACCCAGTCACCATTAGACCACAGTCATCTAATGAACGCATTAAAGATCAAAGATTAACTGTCCAACAATATTTAATGATTCTATGAATATTGAACATTTACAGGAAAAAAAGAAAATAATGTAACAATCCCACACGCTCTTTGAGTCATTCCAAATGCTGAAAACAGTTGGGTTTTGGCTGAATTGCTTTTCCTCCCCAGAAACATGAGAGTCATAAAGAGTTACATGCACCTTTGCAGGACACAAGTTACTTCTCACTTTAGGGGAGTCTCACGTCTGGAATTTAACCAGTTTTCAGGAGGTAAATTGGGTGTAATCTTTCTACGCTGATTCCATACAACACAGCAAAGCAACAACCAAATAAAAAATACATTAGCACATAATTATTAGTCCATTTTCTGGGACTACTCAGGACAAGAGTTATCACTGCAGTTCTGGTCCTTCAAGGAACTTTAAATCATGAGCATTTGTTTTCATTGCTACTACATACTTGCGAGTCAAGGTAGAATTGCTTCTTACTTCAAGTTTGTGCTAACAGCACTTCAAAAATCATGAAAAGACTCTGGAAAGATATACAAATGCCTATCCTAGGGTGAATTAAAAAAAACAACCCACAGTATTTTTAAAGTAGGATTTTGTTTTCTTTTAATCATAATACCCTATAGTAAGAGCAGCAAAGTCACTTGTAAAGCTGCACCCTTGAATCCCGCAGAATGCAGATGTTCTTGGTGTCCCTATCATAATTTTATTAATTCATACTGAAAAATGGAAAAGGAAAACGAGAAATTATGCATATGAAGCATCTTCTCACATAAGCAGTAAAATAGCGTTTAAATTGCCATCACTACTTCATGTTCACAATTGTTTTATGAACAAAGAGTTCAAGTGAAATAACTTTATTTTAAAACTTCTAGGTCTATATTGTTGTTTTTTCTATATATGTATTAAATGATTAAATCTATCACAATTGCTGTTTATCTGGTTAACAATACAGAATTTATCTGTGTAAGAATGGCATGTTAATTTTCCAAACTTCTTTGAAAAGATAACATTTACCTTTTACCTGCCTTATAACATTATTATCTCCAGTAATTTTCAGAAATATGCAAATGATACTTTCCATTACAGTTTTTCCTACCCAAGTTAGAGAGAAATGCATTCTTCCCCAGCCAGAAGTATCTTACTATGCAGACGCAATTCTATTTGTACTACAGAGAATATAAAAAAAAAGTACTATTGCATAAAAGCACATCCTAGACCTTCCTATGGGACAGCTTAGCACTGTTAAAAGTAGTAAATAAAGTTTAATATCACTAAGCTGCCAACTGTTGCAGGTATTTCCATTTCCCTGTATACTAAACCTGCTCTTTTTTTTTTTTTTTTTTTTATTCCCTCATGACTATGTTTTTCAAAAGCCAAAAGATTTTTACTTCCGTATTAGTTAAGCATCTGGAATGACAGGATCTACTAAGTGCTAAATCAGCATTTAGTACAAACAGCCTCCTCTTTAGATTGAATAAACTAACATTCGCAATTAGTTGATTTCCAATATATAAGAAAAAGCACTAAAGGGGCTTTTCCTCTTACAAGCCATGAGTAAAGCATGTATGAAAGAGCTACCTGTCCTGAAGTCCTGAATAAACTGCTGAACAGATCTACTAACTTTGTGGTTAGTTACTGCATTTAACAAGCCAGTTTTAAACACTAAATATATTCTGATAAATAAACCCACTTTAAATATGCTGGGCACCTTTTATGCAAGTCAAAATTTTCTAAAACATCAAACCTTAGAGCGATGTTTTAATGCTGCTTTATACAGAATGCCCATTTCAATCAAATGCAACTCAACACAAGTCACATCTAAATAATGTCCGAGTGAAACATGTAATAAATCATTATTTTTTGGCAAAGTGAAACTGTATATTTAATATGATATATTAAGCTCCGTAAGTAATTTAATTGATGTATGAAGCCACAATGCATTTTCCTGGGTAGCATAAAGTGGAACGAATGTAGATTGCTGAGTTAGTGGGGAAAAAAATTTGAAATCATTCTTAAGGAATCATTAAGACAGTGAAAATAATCCACAACGTCTATCTCCAATGAAAAATGTTGTTTTTATTTAAATCAATGTGCCTGCTTGCTGATCATAACAAAAAACGGAAATTAAAGATATTTTAATAATTAAAAAAAATCAATTTTCCAAATCCCAGCTGCTCAAGATTACACATAAATCGCACACTAGTTGTTCATGCTTAATGCAATTAGCACCATTAAAGTCATGGTAACTGAGCCATCATCTACACAACACTTCTGCTGCACCTATGCTTCAACAATACAGCACCGCAGAGCAGGTGAAGCTGTTCGGTCAGAGTTGTATCATCTCACCTAGTAATAAAAACCAAACTGACAAAGTTTTCTATCATAGTAATTCTATCTGTATCGGGCAGTCTGCTAGCAAATCTCTGTACCAGTTGTTTTTCAGCCCAAACCAGCATCAGTTTGTAGTGTAGAACTGTCATGACAGTGATTAGAGACAAACAGAACGGCTATCTTTTAAAATTTAATCTGTATTTTAATTTTTGTATGCGCAAATCTTTGCTCAATAGCAAAAAATAGCATAGTGGTTATTAAAGAAAACAACTACATGGGACGAAAACTCAGGAGGTCATTTATCTATTTAAGAGTTCAAACTGCCTTTTAAAGTAGTGTTATAATACACAGATTGGTCAATACCGGGGTTTTTTTTCCTTTACAAATTTCAAGTGAAGCAGCCTTTAAAAATGTATTTCCATTAAGAGACCAGGTTTTGCTCAAAACACTGCATATCATCACACATAAAAAGAAATAAACAAGGCATTCTTTGTTGCCTAGTCCTGCAAACGCTTCAGAGAAGCCACTACCAGTAAAAAGCTGGCACACCTGACAGCATGAACCAAACACCGGTGAGAGTTTGGGGATGACAGAAGGGAAAGGACAGGAAAGAAAATGAACACCTCTGAGAAATTAACAGCCCTGAAGTGCCTACATTGTTACTGTTGCGTTAAGTATTCCACTAAAGCTTGTAATGAAATAAATGTTGTGAATTTGGCTAGATTGTACATAGGAGAAATATGAATCATATTTTATAAATCATTAAATACTTGAAGAAAAATGCAATCTCACAAGGAAGTCATTCAGAGTAGAAAGGATGTTTTAACTAGGACACAATGGAAATATGTTCAGACAACCTCAAAATTTAAAAACAAACAAACAAACAAACAAAACCCTAACTGGCATTTTAATCCAGTACCAAGAAACAAAGACATAATCCTCACACCTTATTGTGACACACTTCTGATTTTTCTCAAGAGGAATAAACCCCAGGAGATGCAACTGAGGGAAACAAGGTATCTTCATCTAGGGAAGAAAAAGTCTGCAATTGTATTTGTCTATATTTTCTACATATCCAGCAAATTAGAAGAAGTAAGAAAGATTCAAGATTCTTCTAAGCATGCTGCCCTGAAATAGGGAGAATAAAACTGCCAACTCATCAAGTACTCTAAAACATGGAGGTACTTGTTGTTATGTATAATCTGGAATCGTATGTTTAAACTTCTCTTTTGTAACTTTATTTTCAATTTGGTAATCATATATCTTGCTTTTTGCTTTGCTAGCACAAACTTGCTTTCTTTTTTATTCTTAGCCTCGTCTGGATGACAGATCTCAAGAGAATTTGAAAGGCACAGAGTACTTTCTCTTCAGGGAGCAGCAAACGAATAAAACATGGTCCAGGCATCCTCTACAAATGCCTTCCAGTCGAGGTGTATTTTGAAGATCCCGATACCTGCAGCGTGCATTCCCACACCAGCCACACAGGTCAGCCTCGGGAGAGGCAGCACTGAAAGCTACACGGGCACAAAAGAGCCTCCCAAGGCAGGTAAAAAGAACCGCAATTAGACAGCTGCAGGTTGGAGAAGGCTGCTACAACTCCAGATCACTTCCTAAGCATCATAGTATGGCTAAAAGCATATTAATATACAATTAAGAAAACCTGTAAAAAGGAAAAAGAAAAAAAAATCTTCCTTAACAAAAGGAAAGAAAACAAGTCTCGCAGGTTGGGATAAAATTAAGTTTAGTAACTGATATTGCTTGGAATTTAGAAAATAGGCTTTCAAGAACAGGAGTACACAGCTATACAAGTTATACTCTGAGTGTGTCTCTGCTTTTTGTTTTTTAGCTCCACTGGACTAGTGGTTAGTTACACATGCCAAGAATGGCAGCTCAGCCACATAAAATTCCGATTTGAGATACACAAATGCAAGTTACCACAAATCATGGAGCAATCTTGCTTTTAAAAGACACACTTCTTCCAAGACTATATCCTAAAGCATTACTACTGGCCACAATAGAATAAAGATTAAGGGATAAAACATGATTGGCTACATAAATTATGTTAAGTAGCACAAAAATTAGAAGTTTCTTCTGAACAGATTTAAAGTTTGTTACACACACTCCACAAGCAGTAAGCACCAACATTACAGATACACTTTCTTTGAGCTAAACCAAGAGGTAATGCCAAATTAGGGAAAAAAAAACACTACAGCTATTTCAGAGGCCACGGGTACAGGCTCATACTTTGCAAAGAAAGAAATTTTGGACTTGAGGGAAACTGGCAATTTCCCATAAGGGCATTCTTAACCTGCAGTAAGTGTAAGGTAATTTATACCAATTTTAAAATTACATTTTTAAATAATTTTTAAAATCTGATTTACTTTAACATGACAAGATCACACAGACAACAGTAGTTGGATTGTTTTAAATTATTTCTCATCCATACTAGCTGACAGTTTTCTTCCCTTACATGACCTGAGGTCAAGAAATGTGGCTTGAGAAATGGCTTCGCTTATAAATTCAGTTCAGAAGTCAATTTCAAATTATGGAAAAATAAAAGCAAAGGTGTCTAGGACAGTGGAAAAAAATAGTTTTAAAGAAAAAAGCATAAGGAACTACTTTACTTACCTATTGGATATCCCAGTGCAAAGTCATTGCTTTGTGTAGCAAAAATAGGGAACAAACCTGCTTTGCTAAATCTATTCTCAGGACTGGCTACCAACAATGTTAAAATGCAGACTAAGAAAAACACAGCAGCTTTGGCAACCAAAATACTGTACAGGAAGGACCAATTCACATTAGAAAAGTTAAGTACCACCATGTTTTTGAACAGTAGAGCTGGGAGTGCAAAACGGGACACAAAATTTCCAAGTCCTTTGGCCTGAGTTGTTGTGATAATGTTGGCTCTTCCAGCTATGTAGCCACAAAGAATTATTCCAAAGCATTCTAACAGTGCTGGGAAAAGTCTGCTTATTGACATAGAAGGAGTACCACTGGTGGTATTGAGTTCAACTTGTCCAGGCAAAGAAATAGACATATTAGCTGCAGATGAGAGGTTCTTTATATTGAAGTTGGAATAGTTATCCATTTCCTTTGACCACCTCTTTCAAAAAAAGAGCTTGAAATGATCTCATCTGTAAAAGAAAAAAAAGTATTTATCTATTAACTTCCAAAACTGTCTTTGTGAATATTTATGGTATCAGACTTGCTGACAGAAGAGTTTACACTTACAAGCCATTACAAATAAATAATGAGACAAATAATAAGTAGTCACAGAGAAACAACTCTGAGAAAGAAGAATGCTCAAAAATCATTCCATACACACATCATCTTCACACTGCTTCTTCTCACAAGTCCATACAATCCAACAAGACAACCGATAGAGGCTAAAAATTCCCGAAGAAATTTGAGAGTAACATTGAATCATTAAAACTAAATGTAGATTGGGCATTCGAAAAGGCAAAAATCTGCTGGAAGGAGATATAACAAGCATTTTTTTGTTATTATTCTAGGATCTAAACATAATTTAGAATAAATTACAGTCCTCCAGCACTTTCCAATCATTGTTTCAGAAAACAGTAATTGCTAAATTCTCAGTGTATGTTCATCGCTTTCCTGGACTACCATTACAAGTCTTAGTTAACTCTCTAACAGGAAGGCATGAGACTCTTTACGTACTCATTAGCAGCTTGTAACCTTTCTTACCTCCTCAGCTCACTGTCAATTCCCAGCTACAATTCTGACATACTCTTTGCTTTCAACTATCAAATCGTTAGTTTTCTTTTCTAACTCCTTTTGTTTGCCCCAGGACTTCTTACCTCAGGTCCTCCCTAAACCATGCCCTACTTGGTTCTTTCTCCTTCACAATAAAAATCCACCTTAAACTCCCAATATTAAAATCTCATCCTTAACCTCCCTTTAACTATTGCTGTTCACCTTTGCTTCCACACACTCAGCTTTATGTGTGGTTGGGAGTCCTCCTTCACTTCCATCTTTAGGTCCTATTTAATCCAAGTTCTGCCCCTGAAACAGCTATTACCAAAATCCTGAGAGGTCAAAAAGTTCTTAAACTTTCAGAATTGGTGTTCCATTTTCACCCTTTGTGACCATCGTACACCTTCATCGTAATGATAATCTTCTTGCAATGTTGCCCTTCCCATATCTTTTGTAATTACAGCTCCTCCTAATTTTCCTCCCATCTCTACTTGTTCCTCTACTTGTAACATCTACATGGGAGGATCCCTCTAAATTTCTGTGGGTGCTTATAGGGCTCCTTCCTTGTTCCTCTTTTGTCTTCCTACATCCTCTGCCTGTGTATTTTCATAAGCACTTATTCAATTATAAATAGATGAGTTACAGATATCTCTTCCTAATCCAGACCTATCTTCCTCTGTTAAAACCATAATTTCTGCCTGTCTACGAGATCTCTTTTCTGAATATCGTGCTGTCAATTCAAGTCCAATGAGCCTGAAACTGTCCTCTTATTCTCACAAAAAGATGTTCCCTCAGTTACTCTGTGCCATGTATCTATTTTCCTAGAGGTGGGTGACAAAGGTTACAAAATCCTCTAATTTGAGGGAAAAGCAAACTTACTGAACTCATACTCATCTGCAAGTCTGTTGCAAGGAAAAATCTTCATAGTCTATCAGTATCAATTCTTCTACAGATTCATCGTCCACACCCCAAAAAACCCTTGCTTTATTATTCTTTTACAGTCTAAACTTATGACCTCTTAATCTATCGCAGAATAACAAGAGGAATACCCCTTACAAGAACATGAGCGCCAGGCAAGGAAGATAAATATTTGACCAAGAATTGTAGCTTCTCCACCCTGGCACAAAAACATTTGGCAAGGCCCTCTCTACATTCGAGAAAGATTGAGAGATCAAATTATCATATCACCCTTCAAGCTTGTACCTTGCTTTGTGCAACTTCAACCTATCCCAAAGTTTCAGTATCATGTGCTTATGATACACTTTCCAGTTAGCAACGCATCCAGATATGACACAGTGGCCAATGATCTAATTCATCACGCTATTGCTTACCCATATTCCTACATACAATTCTTTAGGCCAGTAACAGTGACATTTAAGTATGTATTAAATTATTCATGTACAATAGATCTACATCTTGTGACTCCTGATCCTCACTTGTTACCAGCGATCCCCTTAGAAAGGGCTGACTATAACACAGCAGGTTCTATATGCAAGTAGACATGTAAAGTCTGCAAATCAGATGAAGAGAGAGGACATCAAACACCAACATTCAGTGGCCAATAGCAAGGTCTTGCCAGAAACAGATACGGCTTTGGTGATACAGCTCTGAAACATGTGCAGTCCATCAGCTAACTCTACATATAACATTTTGACACGACTAAGTCCTAAAGCATTCTGGAAAAAGTAGTAAAGACAATTTACCCCATTTTGTAGCGATAGAAACTAAGGCAAAGGAAGACTGATTTGCTGTAAGCCATTTAACGTATCAGTGGCAAAGCTGAGATTCCCAATTCCCAAACCAGTGCTTTGTACAGCACAATGGCTAGATCTGTGCAAATTAACGACTGGTTTAAGAGTCTTCCCAGCCTTTTTCTATCCTGTCCTCAGGGAACAGAGAACTCATAACAGCCAGGTAAATAACCATGCAAATCAAGTCAGAGCAAGGGTGAGATCCTGTATGCTCTATTTCACACCCTGGTATCCAGTATACATATATTCACATGTAGCATAAACTCTTCGACTCATTACTTTTATTTATGCCCGAGGCTTTTAGTAATCAATCCTACAGTGCTGTTGTAATTTATCTGGACTGAGCAGCTGCATCATCCATATCTGTCCAGTAGCCTTGGCTACCTCTTCTCCCAAGGGAAGTGAATGTCACTCCAAGTAGGGCTTATTTAAAAGGTTATATTTTTCTTAAATTATAGACGATACATCCACCTAGATGTATTTGGACCAGGAGCCCAAAACATTATCTACCACAGAACGATGAAAAAACTTGCAATAAGTAAAGCAGACAACAAACCATTTCTTCTATTAGCAAAACTTAAGGAAGTTGTTGGGATTTGCAACATGTCCAAAAGAGGATCGGTGACAGATTTCCAACACTGAATTCTTGAAAGAAGTCAGCCACATTCTATACTAGCTGCAAGGTGAAAAGCATGTTTTTGGTGCAGCCCCACCTCAAATCCTTCAAGGTTGCAGTACCACACAGAGGTAAAGATCCTGACAATGCAACATGTTCAACCTACTCCCTGCTCTGTTGAGGTATTTTTTTCAACAATAAGATAAACATGAAGCTTTCTTAAACAAATGCAACATTTGATCTGTGGTGGAAGTGTACTTTGGCTGTATCTATCCTTAAATTCTGCCATTTCCCCCTGCCTTCCTATCTTTTACCACTGTGTCAATACTAATGACAAATTTCATTTTCTGATATTCTTACTCACAAAAGCCACCACCTACATACAGTTATATAGACTTTTACCACTATAAGATCTCCTTCCTTTCTTTCTCTCCTGGAAAGTGGTTTGAGCCATCCAGGCTTTTTGCTTGCACAGACTACAACTATCTTTTGTAAAGTGCCACAAATATTCCTACAGCCTTCCTTCAGGCTATCTTCACCTTGAACTTCTTTATAAGGGGCCTTGTAAAAAGTCAGTCAGGCCCAATTTTTGGTGAACCACATGGACTCATGTGCAGAGAAACTGCATCACAGTAAAGCTGCTACTGACACTCCTTAAAGGGCTTTGAGATGCACACATCCCAAAACATTCACATTTAACACAGATTACCTATTGCAGAGCTGTGGGTATTTTCCAGAAATGCAAGCTCTTGCACAGCCTGCTGCTTAACACAGTGAATACACCTCTCGGCCCCTTTTGCTCTATAGGATACATGCATTTACGTAACTGCTGTGAGATTATGTAATGACTAATCACAGATTTAACATACAGCCTTATCACACCTGGGGCTTCACTCAAACTAGCATCTCCCATGAGCGAAAATGTCTTCAATTCACAGTTCTTAATGAAATCAAAGGTATTGATTTGACACAAAACCAAAACCTTATATATTTTACACAGAAACTCATCTGTTCGTACAGTAGTTGTAACGAATTAACTAGTCAAATGACACTAAAATAAAGAAGTATAACACAGTCCCAAAGGAAAGCACTTAGCTTTGATTCCATAGGACACATGATTTGTGGTTATCCCTTCAGGGACTGAGGATTGAGATTTGAATCCTTGAAAACTCACACACAGCTGCATTGCTGGGAACTGCAGGCCAACGAAGACAAAGCTTTTAGGAATAACGCTGCCTTATCTGCTGTCAACTGTCAAGCATAGCTGCTTGCAGCCAGACCATCAGCTTGCATTCTTAAGGAAGGACAGTGCAGCCAGCATGAGAGGAAGCCTGGTATGAAGACCAACAAGAGACAGAGAGCAAGGAACAAGCGCAGTGTACAATTCCCTTGAAACAAACTGGAGCACTGATATTTGCCCACCTCTCTTGTAGTCGTCAATATTTGTGAAGTGTTAAAATTCACCAGACCAGAAACTCAATTCTCCAGCAGCTGCCAGTTAAACAACATCACCTTCCTCTGAGTACCAAAATAGAGACAGTCTCCTTTTCCCGCAGGAAAATCCCTTTCATTTTCTTTTTTAATTAAAGTCAAAGACAGTGTGAGAGAACAGAAGAGATACCTCAACATGCATCTTCTCTCTGTTCTCTCTCTCTCAAGCTTTCAGCTGATAATCACTCTCTGGATAATTCTGGTGACACTGGCAAGGCTGTGCACATTGTTCATAAATTATATCCCACAACATGACCTCATTCCCTTCTTTCATGCAATGTAGAAACATCCTAAGGATGACACATTATTTTATTCAGGAGGCTGAAAGTGGAATCGGGGCAGGAAGAGCGACCATTTATGGGAGCTCTAGCACATCATCCTCACCTCAGATAAGAACCTACCATATACATGTTTCTGTAAAAGTTTGTACAGTAAGTCAAAGAGGAAGCAACTTTAGAGAGTTACAATGATAAAAGTGGGAAGAAGTGATTACTGCAGTTCCTATTCCTGCAAGTT